TAGAAGGGAACCACTGAGATAATAGGCAAAAAGAAATTAATCTGAAGTTTGCAGTGTAATTGGGTGGAAACCCCCCGTCGCACATTGTCCTGTGCAGGCGTCGTCGCCTCGTTAGCTGTCACTAGATGACTGGGATCAAGCAGCCACGTTCTTTGCTCTGAGGTTGGCCCGCAGCGTCTGAGAGCAGTGGAAGTGAACTGGAGTGACAGAACTGCAGGTTCAGCCTGGGCCAGGCAGCAACATTTTTTTAGTAGCTCTGTGCTCCTCGACTGTGCTGCTGAGCTGCAAAGAGGGGTCGGGGTGTTGCCTGTTCTCTGGGAGCTCTGCCACTTGGGATTTTACCCTCATACCTCTTCTGCTTGGGGAAACAAGACGTTAGAGACACTGCAGCACCGCTCAACTCGGGTTCTTACTCTGAGTGACTCTATTTTCACGGTGGAACAAGGTGGGGTGGAGGGCAGCAGTGCTCCTCCCTGCCTGTGTGTTAGCTATTTGCAGTTTGGGTCTTAGGAAGTTCTTGGTTCTGATTTATTTTTTTTGAGCCTGTGTTTTGCAAGCTGAGGGGGAAGCGTTGGTTCAGGTTTTAAGGCAGACAGATCTGCTTCGGGTATTGGCAGAGAGATGAATGGAGAGAATGATAGATGAACTAACATGCTCTTGGAGCTTTTGAATGAGGTACAGACTAAATTACATCGTTATATTTCAGCATTTTTTGTCCAAATCACCATGTTCTATTACTGATAATTTACCTGAGAACTTGCTCTTTATTATTTTTTTCTACATGAAACGACAGCTGATGCACAAAAGACACTTCAAAGTCTTTCCCAAGGGTCTAAGTGCCCCATTTCTGAATGGTGGTGATGATGCCTGGCAAGGACAGACATTTCCATGGGAAACTTTGAAGTCTCAGAAGTCATGGTGGAAGATCTTGGAAGTCTCAAGCCCAGCCATCTGCTCGAAGCAAGGCTGTTGCCAATGCTACATGAGATCAGCCCGTGGCTTTGGCTGAGCCTTAACCACCTCTAAGATGGAGTGCAGGAGAAGCTCAGGAGCTCTCTCACAGCTGCATAGCCCAATGTTAGAATCATTTTGGTTGGAAAAGACTTTTAAGATCATCGAGTCCAACTGCAAAGCTAACTCTGCTGAGTCCACCACTAACCCATGTCCCTCAGCACCACATCTCCAATTCTTTTAAATCCCTCCAGGGATGGGGACTCCACCACTTCTTGAAGTTGCCACATTCCAGCTCCCAACTTTACTTTTGCATGTTGCTCCAGGACCAAGTCCTGCTTTTTTTTTCCCCAGAGAGAAAGGTCGTGGGTACCAGGAACACCCATGAGGTGCTGACCCTCCTGTATGGTTGAACCATGATGGTCATCCCTTTGTTCTTTGTAGTGGGGATTACGTGCTAATTATAGAGCTCCCTAATGTGACAGAACCTCTATGTGACCATCTCTGGGGGTGCTTATGCATTGAGGAAGACAGTTTGGGCAGCTGCCACCACAAAGCAGTGTCTAAAGGTACAGTCTGGTATTAGACAGGCAAGAATCTGGACACAGAGGAGACCTCAGCACTGTATGTTGACCTGTAATGATGCTGAAAGTTAAACCTTGCTTCTTGCACGGCTCTGGCTGTGCTGCTCCAAAGCATTTTGCATTTGGCTCTGCTGAAATTTAGTCCCAGGGAGATTAAATTACTCTTTCTTCATCATTCATATTGATCTCCTGTTGCTGGCTGTAGATGACAAATGGACTTCACAATCCTTCCAGCTCTAGTCGCTCTGGGAGGTGCGTTGAGGCTTTGTTAACCTTTTCCTCTTTGGGAGGAGGTGTATAAAAGCAGTGCGGGGAAAATCCTGGCTGCACAGGTTGGGATGTGCTGCTGCATCAGGTCACAAAGCAGAAGGTGGTTTTGGAAGTCAAAGCCACTTTGCACCAAGATGTTTGATGGCTGTTATGAGCGTGGCCTTTTGTGGCAGCTTGAACTGGAGAGGGTTGTTCTGAGGTTGAGCACCTCTGAAGGAGGAAGACAGCGGACATGATGCCTTGGCAGGGAGGGTCTTCCTCGTTGCAGCAAGTCTTTCTCTCCTTCCCCAGGAGATGCTGGTGTGCTTGCAGGCTGAGAGAGTGCTTGGCTGCTGAATTCTGTTGGCTTGGCTTGCCAAGGAGGTGGGTGGCTGTTTCATCAGTGAGCCTTCACCCTGGTCTGTCCATGGGCAAATATCAGCCTGGTTGTGATGCTGCAGACCTTAGAGAGATTGTTCTACAAACCTGGGGAAGATGGATGGCTGGGGAAAAGCTGGAATTGGCTCTCTTGAGTCACAGGTCTGTTGGGTGCAGGAGGACAAGCACGGCAGCAGGATGTCACACGTGTCCTGGCAGGAGGAGACTGGAGATTGTATTTACTGTATAGCAGGGAGTGCATGCCTTGACCAAGGTTTCCTTTCCTCTGTAGGGTGCAAACACAAAGCTTTCCCCTAGCTGGAATATTCATAAGTTTGCTCTCTTATGTAGGTCTTGATGTGTGATAAGGGCTGAGCTCACCCTGCCTGGTTGATTCTTAATATATTTCAAGTAAAATCTCAGTCATCCCCTGGACCTGAATCCATCAGAGAACCAGGAACTGCTTTTGTGGGGTGTTGTGGGAGTCTCTGAAAGAAGGTTGTCCAGCCATCTAAATATGGACATTGTTGGTGCTTGAGAATTTAGGGTTATGTAGGTGAAGGGATAATTAGCATTAATGTCTAAGCTGTGATAGCTCACAGGCAGGAGCACTGGGAACCAGAGGTTGGGTGATGGTTGGGACTGAAGTGGAAATACCTTCTTCCCTGGGCTGCCAGAAGGGGTTTAACTTCGGGTGGTTAGAGACAGCGATCCAGTTCTATGTGCATCATAGAAACAAATCCAAGGTTAATGCAGGTGTGTTTCAATTTTTTTTTTCCACTTTTAACAGAGAAACTAAAGGCTAAAATAGTCCTGAGCTTGTAGTCCACCTCTGTATTCCCCTTTGACCAGGAGAAAACGGAGGTGCTTTAACCAGGAAGCTCCCACTGATGTTGCAGCATGATTAAATTGGTGTCACCAATTTAAAGATTGAAGATAAGGGCAAGGCAGCTGCAGGAAAACAGCAGGATATTGAACTGTTCCTTCTTTCCTCGGCTTTTAACCATTCCCCATCTCTTTCTCTCTCCTTTGCTGCCTTCGGTGACGCTTGGACATGCAGAGCAGCGAGGGCTTTTGGAGAATATCTTTCACAAAACCATCCTGAAGGTAGAAACGGCTCAGGTAAGAGAATTGACTTATCTTGTTTATATTTTGTGGCATGCACCTATTTATTCATAGGCCTTGGAATAAAAGTGCATTTATTTATCATATAAAGGGTTAGTGTGAGATCTCAGCAGCAGAGAGGCAGGAAGACTTGGCCTCTAGATCTGTGAAGCCTTCGAGGAGAAAAGGCAGTTGGGTGACTCAAAGGTTGGGTGGCCTGTGGGGACAGGTTCATTTTTAGTGGACAAGTGCCCTGTCAGAAATTCACCCCTAGAGCTGATGTCCTTGGAAGAAGTTTCAGCTGAGAAATGAAAGACTGCCCAAGGCTTCTGCACTGGTTTGTCACTGGTTTGTCACTCCAGCTCTTGCTTTCACTGGGGAATTAAAAAAGGTAACGTGCTTAATGCTTGTGCAGCAATCTGTCTTTGCTGGCAAAGGTAACTTCTGGATTTATTCCCAGTGTTTGCTGAAACAGGGGTTAAAGTGAGATTTGCCTTGTCTGGTTTGAGGACACCAGCATGTGCTAGCTAATGTGTTAATTTTTTAGATGCAGATATTGTCCCTGTCAGCTTATGATGGGCAGCAGAGCACAAGAGAAACTCGCTTGGCTTTTAACAGGGCTGTGTCTTCTCTCTGAGGAAAGAAAACATTTTGCAGACAATAAATTCACTACAAAACCTCTTGAAAATCCTGTGGAATCCACGGAAAATCCTTTGTGAACAAGTAGCAGATTGTTGCATGGTGTTGAACTGTTTTGCAGGGGATAAAGTTATTAAATAGAACATAACGGAGAGGGATGTTATCACTTTATGTAAACTGTGTGTGTATTTAAACCTCTACAGGCAGGAAATGCCTCTTGCTAAAAGAGCAAGCCCAATCACACTAGTCTTTGACAGCCAGCTGAATCAGTCCCTACCTTTTTTTCTTGGATCTGTTCTAATGACCTTCAAGTTGTTCTTGGATGAATTGTGTGAATTGTTGGAGGAGCAACAATCCCAAAACCAAAACCTCGATCCCAGGAGAGAGAAAGCCTGAGAGAAAGCCAGAGAGAGAAAGAGAGACCCCTATTAATACACTGAACATGATGTTATATGATATGGAATATCCCATTGGCATATCCAAATGCCAATTCAGTTTATTAATTTGAATATTCATTGCCTCCTCTAGACCTTGCACTTGTAGACTAGCAAAACATAAAGTCCTTTGACTTCCAGTGACAAATTAAAACATTGGTATGTTATTAACATTTTTCTCATAACAAATCCCAGCTGAAACCAAACCACAGCGCTGTTCTAGCTACTAAAAAGAAACCAGCTCTGTCTCGGGTACAAACCAGGACACTTTGTGAATGTCAATTTTGTGAAAATAAAATGTTTATTATTTTTTTTCAGGCATGAGAAACTCCAGTGACACATTACATAAAATATTTGGTCTAAGAACAACCCATAGTGGTAGGAAGGGAAGGGTAGGAAAGGCTGGGGTTTAATGCAGGTGAGATGAAGTGTCTGTGAGGCAGGGGGAAGGAAGAGGTTGGATGGACAGTGCAGAGATAGGCTGGGCAGGTCTGAGGAGGCTTCTCGAAATGGGGAAAACATCCTTTGTCATGGTCATTTTTGCAGCTGCTTCTGTCAGCTGGAGTCTTTGTCAGTCCTGTCCTGCAGTCCCCAGCCCCAGTTTCCTACAGGGAGAGATGTTCTCTCCTACTGGTTTTGTTGTGCCCTCGTGGTACTGGTGCGGTCACATTCAGGGTGGAGAGAGGATCTCTGATGGAGATGGGGGGGGAAGTGGCAGATCTGGTCTGGTGCCTGAGACCTGGGGAGCCCTGGTCAAAGCTGAGGGGTTGGGAGCCTCTCTGATGCCCCTTTACAAAGCTGATGTTTTACTCAGCCTTATGGCTGCCCCTAGCTGCTTGTTCCTCTCTCTGACTGTAGAAAAGGAGAACCTGGAAGTGAAGCTGATGTGACTCCTGGATAATGTGCCACTCTCAGGTTCCCCAGACCAGCGCTCAGCCCTCTCTGTGCTTGTAACACATCCATAAGCCCTTCAGGGAAACCTTCTCACACCCACTGTCCCCTTGGTGTATCAAGCTTGAGATCATTTTTGAATCCAAGCAAATTTAGTGGCCGCAGATAAGAATTAAGCAGTGAGAGGTGCACATGGATATACCACAGTCCTTATGGGATCTGTAAGTATTGACTTGGAAATAAATAAAGCACATCTGGCCCAGCTCTCAGTGTGTCCCTGTGCTCACCTGGTGTGGCTGGCCTTGAGCAATGGAGGTAGAAAAAGCTCTTCCTGTGGAGGGGATTGTAGGCAACCTGAGTTCAGCGCAAAGCAGGGATGTGAAATCTCATCTCTGAGGGTTTTAGGCTGTTTCCAGGACTGGCCAGCACAGGAATGCTGTGTTTGTATCCTAAAACTTGCCCTGGAGTATGTTGTTTGCTTTATAAAGTGAATAAAAACGTAGGTCACGGTGTTACCATGGAAATGCTAAAGGCTGGTGGTGGAGCTGCCACTTGCTGCTTTGGGTTGTGTCTCACAGTAACGATTTCATCTATTCACATTAATGTTACAGGCCAGACTTAAAGGTTACTCATCTATGAGGCACAATGTCAACAGCGTCTTCAGTTTGTTTTCTAGGCCCATCTCAGTGCAGAAGACTAATTGGAACCATAGTTAAGTGACCTTCTGTTTTCTCAGAGCAGCTCCCTGACTGAAGCAGCCTTTGCCTTTTCTCTGTGGCTTTGCAGAGAAGCGTGTGATGCTTCTTCCTCGGGAGCAGTAGGGTCAGGGTGCCTGATACAGTCACGACAGGGCTTGCTTGGTCAGACTTTGGGTCATCCCATAGGAAATGTTGTGTGTGACATTTGCTCACTTGACTCTGAAGCTCCTGTATGGCTGAAATGCCACCGTGACCTTTTTTTTTTAATTGCTGTATCTCCATTTTTATCTTCCTGCCTCATGCTTCAAAATTTTGAACCAATTTCCTAGTTTTGACCGTACCTATTTCTTGACTATGTTTCAACTCTGCAAACCAGCGAGGTTGGCTGCCAGCCTGTCCCTGTGCTGGCAGGGTCACGATGCGGTACGTTGGCATTGGGAACGACAGAGCTGACGTGGTTAGAGAGCTTTGTGTTATAGCTCCCATGTACCCTCAGAGAGGGAGCAGAGAACAGGACCTGACAGCCTCTTGGCACACCTGAGGGTCAGTGACAGGCATATGGGAAGTCTCAGAATTGAAATTGCAAGAGAAACTGCTCAGCTGTGCTGTTTGAAAGGATGTGACTGTTTTTTGCAATGCCCTGGGCTCTAGGCAGTGCACCCATCTGCTCCCCTTATTGAGGGTATCGCCTGAACTCCTCCTGGGATAAAATAAAAGAAGCATTAACTTCATTCCTCCTGCTCTGAACAGTGCTGTAAGTCCATATATAGTATCAACCTAAAGTCTTTCCATTCATCTTCAGTGGCTGAGATGGTTCTTCCATTCCCACCTGGAATACTGTGTCCAGTTCTGGAGCCCCCATCACAAGAGAGACCTGGAGCAGCTGGAACAAGTCCAGAGGAGGCCACCAGGATGACGCGAGGGCTGGAGCAGCTCTGCTGTGAGGACAGGCTGAGAGAGTTGGGGCTGTTCAGCCTGGAGAAGAGAAGGCTCCAGGGAGACCTTCTAGTGGCCTCCCAGTACCTGAAGGGGCTACAAGAAAGCTGGGGAGGGACTTTTCATAAGGGCAGTTAATGACAGAACAAGGGGAAATGGGTTTAAACTGAAAGAGGGGAGGTTTAGATTAGATATTAGAAAGAAATTCCTCACTATGAGGGTAGTGAGACAGTGTCCCAGGTTGTCCAGAGAAGCTGTGGCTGCTCCTCCCTGGAAGTGTTGAAGGCCAGG